TCGTTACTCCTCTTATATGCGTTGCGGAACATATTGACTATATATCTTTTGTTCCTCTCTTAATAAGCTTTCGAATGAGGTATAAGGTATATCTATAATTAGGAGCTAAAGGGTCGCAGCAGTCCATTTCATTATTCAAAATATCCATTTCATTATTCAAAATTGGGTATTTCTTAAATTTCACGCGTATTTTGGCATTTAGGTCCTCCGTAACCCCTCTAATGGTCATTGCGGCACATATCGTTTATACGCAGTTTATTCCTCTATCAATAAGCTTTATTTTGGTGTATAAATTTTTCCTTGATTAGGGGCTGACGGGTTGCAGCAGTCCATTCCATTATTCAAAATAAGCTATTTCTTAATGTTCACGCGTATTTCGATATTTAGGTCCTTCGTTACTCCACTAATATGCGTTGCGGAACATATTGACTATATACCTTTTGTTCCTCTCTAAATAATCTTTCGAATGAGATAGAAGGTATATCTATAATTAGGAGCTAAAGGGTCGCAGCAGTCCATTCCATTATTCAAAATATCCATTTCATTATTCAAAATTGGGTATTTCTTAATTTTCACGCGTATTTTGGCATTTAGGTCCTCCATAACCCCTCTAATGGTCATTGCGGCACATATCGTTTATACTCTGTTTATTCCTCTATCAATAAGCTTTAATTTGGTGTATAAATTTTCTCCTTGATTAGGGGCTGACGGGTTGCAGCAGTCCATTCTATTATTTAAAATAAGCTATTTCTTAATGTTCACGCGTATTTCGATATTTAGGTCCTTCGTTACTCCTCTAATATGCGTTGCGGAACATATTGACTATATACCTTTTGTTCCTCTCTTAATAAGCTTTCGAATGAGGTATAAGGTATATCTATAATTAGGAGCTAAAGGGTCGCAGCAGTCCATTCCATTATTCAAAATATCCATTTCATTATTCAAAATTGGCTATTTCTTAATTTTCACGCGTATTTTGGCATTTCGGTCCTCCGTAAACCTTCTAATGGTCATTGCGGCACATATCGTTCATACTAAGTTTATTCCTCTATCAATAAGCTTTAATTTGGTGTATAAATTTTTCCTTGATTAGGGGCTGACGGGTTGCAGCAGTCCATTCCATTATTCAAAATAAGCTATTTCTTAATGTTCACGCGTGTTTCGATATTTAGGTCCTTCGTTACTCCTCTAATATGCGTTGCGGAACATATTGACTATATACCTTTTGTTCCTCTCTTAATAAGCTTTCGAATGAGGTATAAGGTATATCTATAATTAGGGGCTAAAGGGTCGCAGCAGTCCATTCCATTATTCAAAATATCCATTTCATTATTCAAAATTGGCTATTTCTTAATTTTCACGCGTATTTTGGCATTTCGGTCCTCCGTAACCCCTCTAATGGTCATTGCGGCACATATCGTTTATACTCAGTTTATTCCTCTATCAATAAGCTTTAATTTGGTGTATAAATTTTTCCTTGATTAGTGGCTGAAGGGTTGCAGCAGTTCATTCCATTATTCAAAATAAGCTATTTCTTAATGTTCACGCGTATTTCGATATTTAGGTCTTTCGTTACTCCTCTTATATGCGTTGTGGAACATATTGACTATATATCTTTTGTTCCTCTCTTAATAAGCTTTCGAATGAGGTATAAGGTATATCTATAATTAGGAGCTAAAGGGTCGCAGCAGTCCATTCCATTATTCAAGATATCCATTTCATTATTCAAAATTGGGTATTTCTTAAATTTCACGCGTATTTTGGCATTTAGGTCCTCCGTAACCCCTCTAATGGTCATTGCGGCACATATCGTTTATACGCAGTTTATTCCTCTATCAATAAGCTTTATTTTGGTGTATAAATTTTTCCTTGATTAGGGGCTGACGGGTTGCAGCAGTCCATTCCATTATTCAAAATAAGCTATTTCTAAATGTTCACGCGTATTTCGATATTTAGGTCTTTCGTTACTCCTCTTATATGCGTTGCGGAACATATTGACTATATATCTTTTGTTCCTCTCTTAATAAGCTTTCGAATGAGGTATAAGGTATATCTATAATTAGGAGCTAAAGGGTCGCAGCAGTCCATTTCATTATTCAAAATATCCATTTCATTATTCAAAATTGGGTATTTCTTAAATTTCACGCGTATTTTGGCATTTAGGTCCTCCGTAACCCCTCTAATGGTCATTGCGGCACATATCGTTTATACTCAGTTTATTCCTCTATCAATAAGCTTTATTTTGGTGTATAAATTTTTCCTTGATTAGGGGCTGACGGGTTGCAGCAGTCCATTCCATTATTCAAAATAAGCTATTTCTTAATGTTCACGCGTATTTCGATATTTAGGTCCTTCGTTACTCCTCTAATATGCGTTGCGGAACATATTGACTATATACCTTTTGTTCCTCTCTAAATAAGCTTTCGAATGAGATAGAAGGTATATCTATAATTAGGGGCTAAAGGGTCGCAGCAGTCCATTCCATTATTCAAAATATCAATTTCATTATTCAAAATTGGGTATTTCTTAATTTTCACGCGTATTTTGGCATTTAGGTCCTCCATAACCCCTCTAATGGTCATTGCGGCACATATCTTTTATACGCAGTTTATTCCTCTATCAATAAGCTTTAATTTGGTGTATAAATTTTTCCTTGATTAGGGGCTGACGGGTTGCAGCAGTCCATTCCATTATTCAAAATAAGCTATTTCTTAATGTTCACGCGTATTTCGATATTTAGGTCCTTCGTTACTCCTCTAATATGCGTTGCGGAACATATTGACTATATACCTTTTGTTCCTCTCTTAATAAGCTTTCGAATGAGGTATAAGGTATATCTATAATTAGGAGCTAAAGGGTCGCAGCAGTCCATTCCATTATTCAAAATATCCATTTCATTATTCAAAATTGGGTATTTCTTAATTTTCACGCGTATTTTGGCATTTAGGTCCTCCGTAACCCCTCTAATGGTCATTGCGGCACATATCGTTTATACTCAGTTTATTCCTCTATCAATAAGCTTTAATTTGGTGTATAAATTTTTCCTTGATTAGGGGCTGAAGGGTTGCAGCAGTCCATTCCATTATTCAAAATAAGCTATTTCTTAATGTTCACGCGTGTTTCGATATTTAGGTCCTTCGTTACTCCTCTAATATGCGTTGCGGAACATATTGACTATATACCTTTTGTTCCTCTCTTAATAAGCTTTCGAATGTGGTATAAGGTATATCTATAATTAGGGCTAAAGGGTCACAGCAGTCCATTCCATTATTCAAAATATCCATTTCATTATTCAAAATTGGGTATTTCTTAATTTTCACGCGTATTTTGGCATTTAGGTCCTCCGTAACCCCTCTAATGGTCATTGCGGCACATATCGTTTATACGCAGTTTATTCCTCTATCAATAAGCTTTAATTTGGTGTATAAATTTTTCCTTGATTAGGGGTTGACGGGTTGCAGCAGTCCATTCCATTATTCAAAACGCGTATTTCTTAATGTTCACGCGTATTTCGATATTTAGGTCCTTCGTTACTCCTCTAATATGCGTTGCGGAACATATTGACTATATACCTTTTGTTCCTCTCTTAATAAGCTTTCGAATGAGGTATAAGGTATAGCTATAATAAAGAGCTAAAGGGTCGCAGCAGTCCATTCCATTATTCAAAATTGGCTATTTCTTAATTTTCACGCGTATTTTGGCATTTCGGTCCTCCGTATCCCCTCTAATGGTCATTGCTGAACAATCGACTTGTTATATCTATAATTAGAGGATGAAGAATAGCAAAGGTCCAGAGAAAATAAAAAAAAGACCACGTAGAGTATTTTAATTTATAAATATATGTTTTGGTATTCAGGTCGTCCATACATTGAACAAAGGAATTTCTGTTAAAAATAGTTAGGAAAACCCCCTAGTTTATCCTCCGAAACTAGGAACCAGATAAATAAATCAAATTAGAATTTAAAGAGTGTTTTTATTTATTTTTTCTGATATCAATTTGAATATTTGTAAGATAACACCAAAAAGACTAATTTAGAAATACGGGATATAGCTAAGATGTCACAGTCAATTTTTTTATTTTTATTTCACTATTCACCGCTTTAACTTGAATAATGAAACATAAACTATTTCATTATTCATTAGTCATCACTTGATATTGAATAGTGAATAGTGAACTATTTCATTATTCATTATTGAATTTTGAATAATGAAAAATGAATAATGGACGTACTTCAGCGTGGTGTGAAAATCGTCAATATCAAACGTGATCTCCATTGTGTCATCAGTAGCAACATAGTAAAATGGCTGATCATGAACGGTTCATAAGTTTTATCGCGGAAACGACACATGATGCCATTTTCCATTCTATCAAGGACCATAAATGATTACTCCTGAACAGTATTATTGAAAATTTTCAATTTAAACTTTATCTCTATCCTATCATAAGTAACTTGAAAAGCTTTGATTGAATGGCTTATAAGATATTGCACGGAAACGACATAAAGAGCCTTTTTTTCAATCAACTAGTATTTAGGACCATAACTCTTGAACAGTAAAAGCGTAAATCGGTCATATGGAACTTGACCTCCATTTTGTCATCAGTAGCATATTAAAATTTTTAAATCATTGGTTGACCAGTTCATCATTTAATGCACTGAATCTGTCGACAGCCACCCGTCCGCCTGCTTGTTTGTCGTTCGAGTACCTCATCATTTTAAAAACCAGATTTTTCATTCCGAAAACACAGTTAAAACCAAAAAAGACCTTTTCTTTTTGTCAGTTAAATCGTTTTCATATCATTAAGTGATTTTATGGGATGATTCCTGAATATACGTTCTTTTATGTACAATCTGTAGAGGGATCATAGAATACAAGCCTTGAGAGGAAAATTAATTCGCCTTGCTGCTGAGAAAATTTTACCTCGTCACGAATGGAATTTTTTGCAAATGCCCCTTATGAAAATGATGCATTTGATCAAAATAGACATCACAACAAAAGGATAAAAGAAGTTGTTTGTGATGTATTTATGTTGTTAATATATTTTCTTTCGGATAGCTTCATCAATAAGATTGCATGCAAACACAATGGAATTCTTAAATGTTTAAGGTCTTGATATTTTTCCCGAAGATCAAAATTTTTGTGAATTTGTTTAGTACCTCGATGTCCTGCATTGTTAAATCATATTTTATTTTATCAATAAATCATTGACATTTTTGAAAAGAAAGTAACTAGATTCAATCTGCATAAATTATCATAACCAAAATATTTTACACATCTTGTCCAAGATTTAAAATCTCGTCAACAATGAAATCCATATCAGATTTTTCACATACAGGATTTGCAACAATAACCCTGAAGAAGTTGACTAATCCCTTCGAAGATAAAGGTTGATAGCTGATCATTATAGAACCTTTGAGCATCATCCGACCCTTTATAGCTGGAGCTACCTATAAATCAAAACATATTGAAAATTATAATGTTAGCATACTAATAAATCATGGCCCGTTTTAATTTAATGACTAGTGATTAAAGAAGTAATGATATTTTACATCTCTTTGTAAAAATCTGCGTATAAGGTCATTCAGTAAGAAACACGCTGCATTGTGACATTTGCTTTGTAAAGAACTCTCCTTTCTTTTTTAGCCATGGCGTTGTCCGTTTATTTTCGACTTACGAGTTTGAATGTCCCTTTGATATCCTTCGCCTCTCTTTTATGTTGCGTTACTTTGAATTTATGTCAGACATAAACATAGGGGCTTTCTAAAACGAGCATGCTAGACAACTAAGCACTTTGAACAGTTGAATTTTTTTTTCGAATTCAAATCGTGAATAACGATGTGTAAAAAATTGATATAAAAATGAAATATACATGAAGTAAAATAAAAGTGTGATTAAATGTCAATGTTAATTGCTATGTATATTTCTTATCTAATTCCAAATAACGACCATTTGTTCGAATATATGAAACGATGTAGCTCCTTTGTCTTAACATTTTCTAAGAGCAGGGATAATTTAACAGTCAAAGGATACTTGCTTTTAAGAAAAGCAGTACTAGGTTAATCTGTTCCAGGTACAGTTATAACAACAACAACAACAATCAGATACCCATTGAAGATTTCAAATACTGATGAAAGATTTGGAGCATGCATTGTATATTTTTATGTTATACGCTCTTGTACTAAGCCCATCTGTAGATTATAAAATATTTTGAGAGGTAACATACCTTAAAGTTATATGCAACTTACCTTCCCAACCTCCTCCCACCATTCTGTAGTTTCTTTTTTACCACGCAGGCGTGGTGGGATATACCAAAATGAAATGTTTGTACACTGGAACTGAAATTTTTATTTTCGTAAAAATAGATTAAAAAAAAAAATGTTAGTAAAATTATCATTATAATAATGCTAGACACAAGTATATGTTTTCAAAAAATAAGAGTTTTTGGGTAAATACTAATGGGACAGTCATCAATATTAATCTTTTGCTCTGACAAAAAATACGGAAATGATGAGAAATCTGACTGACTATAGCGGTGTATAATTTGTAATAAATTGACACAGAGTTCAGTGTAGAAGTGGTGTTCACCACAAGCTTTAAGTACGTTTTCTTGTATATTTTGGAGATATTTTTACCCTCATGATTTTTTTCTCTGATGACAGCTGTATTAATATCTCTTATTGTGAATTGGTTGATTGATTGATTAGCTTTTACTTATTGTCCAGTGGCAAGTATTTCAAATATATTCAGGAAAAGAATTGGTATTTTTGTCATGGGAACATGCATGATCATACGTGTTTGATTGATTGATTAGCTTTTACTTATTGTCCAGTGGCAAATATTTCCAATATACTTGTCAACAAAAGTAACGATACACAAGTTTGAAGTCCAATTTATCATAAAATATAATAAATAGGAAAATCTGTTAAATTATCCAATGAAAAACATTCATTTGCAAAGCAAATGCATATTATTAAAAGAATCTGACCACATTGGAAAGTGAGAAAATACCGTTTTATTGCACATAGGGGTCAAATTTATTTTGCGGAAAATGATGACAAAAGTCGGCACTTAATTTCGAAGATGAGAATTAAGTATTCAAATATCTGCAAAGGCATTCAAAATTTTAAGCAGACCATGTTTAAGTTTAAAGTTTTAAGTTCTAATATCGATTTTTGAATTTTTTGGTGAAAATACGATTTTTGAAATTACAAAAATTGCAAAAAAAATCGCATATTTGCCTTAAATCAATGGTTTTGATAAGAAAAAATCACTCTGTAAATATTAGACCAATTGGGTAATTATTAACCTTGGTACAGTGTATCCAATTTCATTATATAAGGAAAATACATTGCCATGTATCGTTTCTTTTGTTGACTAGTATATATTCAGGAAAAAAGAATTGGTATTTTTGTTATGGGAACATGCATGATCATACGTGTTAACCTGTAGTTCATTTACTAACACTGGGTCTACATATCTCCTAGTGGGCTGCAATTCCACGAGGATAGTTTATCATCAATGCATTTGCTTCGCCACTATCATGATTTATTAAATAAATTTCAAAGAAATAATACAGAAACTAAGGATCCAACTCCCTCGGGCATAATTGACCTCGAATGGTTGTTTCCCAGTTTTGTATATGTGTTTTTTTTGTTCTAAAGCTCGTTCATGTGTTCATACTGTTTTTTGAAAATATTTGATTTTAAGTGCCCTTCTACAGTAACTTCGTATATGATTTGGACTTCTAACTGTTTTAATTCGCGCGCCACTGATGCATTTGGTCACGTAGTAAATTTTGGACCTTGTATCTTCGAGTTTTGAAAAAAACTGCCTTATAATCGTACAGGTATGCAATTTTAAAGAATTCTCTTATTCTTCTATTAAAAAAATTTGATTTTCTTTTCAAATCATTGGACCTTTTATATATATACTTATGTAAACACAGAAAAAGGAAACATTTTATAATATATAGGAAACAAGGGAAAAAAAGGCATATTTTATAGTGTGTCTTTCTATGTTGTGATGTTACACTATTGTTTCAGATAAGGGTGAAGGTTTGGTACCTTTAAAACGTTTAAACCCGCTGCAATTGTTTGCACCTGTCCTAAGTCAGGAATCTGATGTTCAATAGTTGTCGTTTGTTGATGTGGTTCATAAGTGTTTCTCGTTTTTTATATAGATTAGACCGTTGGTTTTCCCGTTTGAATGGTTTTACACTAGTAATTTTTGGGGCCTTTTATAGCTTGCTGTTCGGTGTGAGCCAAGGCTCCGTGTTGAAGACCGTACTTTGACCTATAATGGTTTACTTTTGTCAATTTTGACTTGGATGGAGAGTTGTCTCATTGGCACTCATACCACATCTTCTTATATCTATTTCGTATGGAAATGTATTTTATCTTCTTATTAATATAATTTTCATACCTCCGGTAAAACTAAACGGAATCCTTCTGTTGATTTCAGTTTTTCTGTTAGATAACTGCAAAATTCAAATATATAACAGACTTAGTAATTCCACTTGGATGTTTGAAAAATAGAAATAATCACACTTGTCAATTTTAACTGTTCCCCTTTTTTACGAAAACTTCCCTTAAAACTATTCATATTTCTCATTCTCTTACTTGTTTTCATAAACGAAAATTTAACTTGATAACTAACTCTATATTGTTTTTGTCGAGCCTGCGACTTTTGTCGCAGAAAGCTCGACATAGGGATAGCGATCCGGCGGCGGCGGCGGCGGCTACGGCGGCAGCGGCGTTAGCTAACTTCTTAAAAGCTTTATATTTTAGAAGATGGAAGACCTGGATGCTTCATACTTTGTATATGGATGCCTCATGTTACGAAGTTTCCGTCAGTCACATGTCCAATGTCCTTGACCTCATTTTCATGGTTCAGTGACTACTTGAAAAAAAAGTTCAGATTTTTTGTAATGTTAAATTCTCTCTTATTATAAGTAATAGGATAACTATATTTGGTATGTGCGTACCTTGCAAGGTCCTCATGCCCGTCAGACAGTTTTCACTTGACCTCGACCTCATTTCATGGATCAGTGAACAAGGTTAAGTTTTCGTGGTCAAGTCCATATCTCAGATACTATAAGCAATAGGTCTAGTATATTCGGTGTATGGAAGGACTGTAAGGTGTACATGTCCAACTGGCAGGTGTCATCTGACCTTGACCTCATTTTCATGGTTCAGTGGTTATAGTTAAGTCTTTGTGTTTTGGTCTGTTTTTCTTATACTGTATGCAATAGGTCTACTATATTTAGTGTATGGAATGATTGTAAGGTGTACATGTCTAGCTGGCAGGTGTCATCTGACCTTGACCTCATTTTCATGGTTCAGTGGTCAAAGTTAAGTTTTTGAGTTTTGGTCTTTCTTTCTAATACTGCATGCAATAGGTCAGCTATATTTGGTGTATGGAATGATTGTAAGGTGTACATGTCTAGCTGGCAGGTGTCATCTTACCTTGACCTCATTTTCATGGTTCAGTGGTCAAAGTTAAGTTTTTGAGTTTTGGTCTTTTTTTCTAATACTATATGCAATAGTTCAACTATATTTGGTGTATGGAAATATTTTATGATCTATATGTCAGTCACGCAGGTTTTATTTGACCTTGACCTCATTTTCAAGGTTCATTGCTCAGTGTTAAGTTTTTGTGTTTTCGTCTGTTTTTCTTAAACTATAAGCAATAGGTCAACTATATTTGTTGTATGGAAGAATTGTTAGCTGTACATGCCTGCCTAGCATGGTTCATCTGACCTTGACCTCATTTTCATGGTTCATTGGTCAATGTTTAGTTTACTTGGTTAATGTTAAGTTTATGTGACAGTTGTAATAAAGCTTTATATTTAGGACTACCAACATAATATCAATGATTAGTAAAGAAGGCGAGACATTTCAGCGTGTGCACTCTTGTTTTTAATTACAATTCTCATTCATCAATAGAAAAATTATTTTAACCAGTTGTTTTTCTTACGCTGCAAGTTCAAATGCTTTCTCTATCCTAGCAGCCATAGCTTTATCACCACGACCTTTCCACATCAACCACAATTTAAGGACATCATTTTTACGACCACATTGGATTGTTCTGTCCCCTGAATAAATACAAAGGGAGTATTAATAATCTACAATTTAGAGCAACGATCTACAAAATACTGAAATAGAAACATTTTTTTTCTGTTACAAGAAGTGATTTTTTTTTCTCATTTTAAATTTAATCAGCTATGAACTCAAAAGTTATAATCTTTGTTTGAACAGTACGGTTTTACTTTCAAAACAGGATCATATTTCGTTATTATGTTAATTAATCTTGTCGTTTAAAGGGAACAAGATCTCTTTATTATATTTTTTCATCAAAATTTTTCTATAACTTTGTATTTTAATACAGCACGCCTTAATATGTCGAGAAGATATTTACCTATATCAAATGACGTGTCGTAAATTTTGTCTGGTTGAAACAGATACTCGGCTCTATATGCATTACACTTTTCCAGAAATCCCTGTTAAAATATTGATTACAAATGTATATCTTTGATCTTGAAGCCCGTTTATTTTCCATTTATTTTGGACTTAGATGTAGAGATGAGATGATGTGGTATGACTGCTGTGAGACTACTCACCAGTGACCAAAGAGCGAAAATGTAAACATGTAAACGTACGGCCTTCAACAATGAGCACATCCCTATATTATAGTAAGCTCTAAAAAGCCCCTGGATGACAAACTGTGAATCAATTCCATAGAGAAAATTAAGGGTTTCTTTGAGATAAATCAATGAACAAGTTATATATGTGACAGACAACAAAGAACGACAACAATTGACTTACAGGACATACATAATATGGCGGGGTTTAACATTTTCGTGAGCATCCCTCCTACAACATGTTATTTAACGTTCTTTTGTATTGTTAGTTTTAGTGGATAAACATCAGATGTAGTTGTATCATTCTAATTTCAAATATCAGACATAAAGGCTATGCATGTAGTGAAAAAAAATATATACTGAGCGCAATTAAGTACGATGTCTGTATTGCTGATATTTTTTTCAGTATCTACCGTCGAAGTGTACAATTTTAATGTTTGAAGCAAAATATTTGAGAGAAAAATGTATACAAAAATTTTGAGATCTAAAGAAAAGTATGCCGTCTTTCGAAGAAATGATATAAACTTAATATTAAAGTTAACCTTTTCCTTAACAACAAAAGCTGAACACTGGATACCTGCGCCAGACATTTTGTGTATATTCCATGCTACGGAATCAGACCTACAACATAAAATTAACATTACTTTACCATCATTCGCAAAAAGACAATTTTTTAATGCAAAGTTCGGTATTTGTGTTATTTTGCTTTTTAATAGTTTAACTTATGCAAAGTTTCATGAATAAACATGTTTTAAGTCGCAGAATATAACATGTGTTAGTTTTACAAACCTTTCAATGCCCTTTGTAAGATATTTCAACTTATCAGACAACATGACACCACCTCCCCATGCTGCCTAGAAATAATAAGAACAATATTTAAAGGGAATAAAAAGTACATTTTACATACCTATTGATCTCTAACTAAATGTATTTTTTAGTGTTCTGGGTAGCTGTCTCATTCTTTCATTGCACCTCCTATTATTCATACAAATATTCAGAAAGTTCCGTTCTCAATATGGCATTATACCATCGAAATTACACACACTGTCAGGCGAGTCGTAACACTGAGTAAGCAATTTATTAAACTGTACCATTTCCAGATAAATCATTCAATCATGACCATTCGCCTTTGAAACATTTGCATAGTTTACATGTTAAAGTTAAAACATTTGAAATATACCTTCTGGATAAAACAGGCGAGACATGATAGTAATGTGTCAATAGATTGCGTTTTTAAAAAACATGAATGCTTCACGAGCTATTGTACTCATTGAATATACGAATAGATGATGTTAGTGGCAAGAGATATGAGATAGCAAGTCAAAAATACAATGAAACAAAATGAGCTCCTTCTCACAATGGCGATGCCAGTAGTGCAACTTATATAACATTGCAACAACGACACATTTTCAATGTTTGCATACAATTTGTACATAAAACAGTATCAATCGACAAACGGAAAGTGTTTTTTTGGTCCCCGTTCAGACCAGGCAATGCTGCGTATTTATACATCCCGCACAGCCAAACAGGCGCCCCACTTTGGCAAGGGTTGACAGCTGATCGAAACACTGAAAAAGTTACAATATTTCTATTTCCCAGTCACTCACTAGGGGATGTTTGCATAATGTAAAGAGACGCAAATATCATATTCGTTTATAATGCGGATATATTTTAGGCAATAATCGCGTTAATTTCTCGTAATAAGTTTTCAAAACAATACTTACATCAACGTGCATCCAGACGTTATATCGTTGACAAATATCAGCTACAGCCTCAAGATCATCAAAAGATCCCAACACCGTTGTCCCACAAGATGCCATAAACATGATAGGAGCACATTTCTGAAATGCAAGCAAATTTAGTAATCTACAAAAGAAAGTCATCTGTATTGGCAAATGATGAGCTTCATATGTGTTAAAGGATCTATAACCTATAATAAAATATATATATATATATATATATATATATATATATATATATATCATGGTTTAAATGTAATACATGTATATTAAACGTCTAACCATTAAGGGCTTTGGTGGCCCAGTGGGAGTGAAAATTTACTTATAATATCACTGGCCTGTCAACACCGAGGTAATGAGTTTGAACCACATGGCAGGTGCGTTCGACTCTGGTTTTAATTCACTTATATTGCATGTTTTCTTGCGGATCAGGAAGGCCGGTGGTTCTCTTCGAACATTTCGACTTCCTCCACCAACAATAACTAGTCGTCATGATAGTGGCGTTTAACACCAACAATCAATCAATCAATCTAACAATTATGTAAAAAATTTGAACGAGCAAATATAATAATGCTACTTGTGTAAATTGTATGCAAAATTAATGAAAAACAGGAAATGTATAGCCCATTGGGAAACAAAAATATTCAGCAAAATTAGACACCAAAAGATAATCATCTTGTCTTCAACCATTGCATATTGACCACAACACAAGACGAGAGTTTATAGACTTTCAAATACTAGTTCTGAAACAATTGAGCTTTTATTCATCCCTACGTTTTGATCGTAATGCTGTACACGTATTAATTACACTTTTACGTTTTTTGTTTGGTTTGGGTTGAATACTTTTCTCTTGATTTTTAGATAGATATAAAAAAATGATCTACAATCTGTCAAAGTAGTTGTTTGGAGAATTAAAGTAGTTTAATAGAAAAATAATCGTGTACCCTTAATTTTATTTTGAAAAATGCACATTTCCTGCAACGATTAAGGTTTAAAATATTTTGTATAAAGATCCGTTGTGGACAAACTTTTAAAACCCTGACTATATGCGCTTCTTAAATAAATGCGAAAGTGCATCTGATGTAAAAAAAAGTTAACAATTTTTCAATCACAGGTATGTTGTATATAAGATTTTGTATTTTTTTTCAACATAACTTCTGCTAACTTGACGTGAGTGACACATATTTAATCATGTTTATTCTAATTGTGTTTTATACTAATATATTTTAAAAGCGTGCATCATACCTACTTTTTGTTTGCATTGTTGAATCTTGTTTTCTAAATCTTCCGGAATAACTCTACCTCTATCATCGGATTTGACTTTGACAACATTGTCCGTCCCAAATCCTAGAAAGTTTGCACCTTTCTCAACAGAATAATGTGCGTCCTCGGACTTTAAAATGACCATTGGTTCACACGAAAACATGCCTTTTTCCTTTAAAGTGGGATTGTTTCTAAATCTAGCTAAATGTATAGCTATAAGATTCGAGAAGGAACTACCTGTAAAACGCAATTATAATTTGTCGAACCATTTCAGTAAAGAAATATTTAAAAAAACAAATAATTACAGGTATGTGTATGAAATATTATCATGCAATTAGGATCAAAGAGGGTTTTAGTTGGGGTTTCTTTATTTCTTTATTTTTAAATTTTTTTTTTCTCAATTCTTTGTTTATTTTGGCAGTTATTCTCTTTTCTTTAAAAAAGCTTTTATGCTGGAATTGTTGGGAAAAATAGTTATAGATAAAAATTGTCAGAAAATTGCAACACAAGGTTGAAACAAATATAAAAGTACATGTATCTGCGATTTAAATGCTAGCATGTCTAGATTTCAAAACTCTACAAGACAACATAGTTTTGTACGATAAATACCTGGACAGAAAATGCCTTCACCGTTTGGATATCCGATCAATGATGATATCTTTTTGAAAATATAATTTTCTAGCGTCACCATGGCGGGTGACACTTCATATGTGTGTCTGAAAATATATGTTTATTTCTTGTTACACCCCTGTAATCAATTGTATCACTGACAGTTGTTTTATTTTTTTTTTTGGTAGAGAAGACAACTACATGTATTTAAGTATTTATTGAGACATGTGTTTTCGAATTATCCGTCCGAAGCACATGAGATCCCACCCGTTTTTTTTTTGTGGGATTAATGTTGCTCAGTCTCTAGTTTTGAATGTTGTGTTTGGTATACCTTTGTTTGTCGTTTGATGTTTTTTTGTTTTTTGCCGTGGTATTGTCAGTTTGTTTTCGGCTCATGAGTTTGAATATCCCTTTGGTATCTTTCGTCTCTCTTTAGTAAAGAACAAGAGTGCACACGCTGATATGTCTCGCCTGCTTTACTGATCATTAATTTTATGTTGATAGTCCTAAATATAAAGCTTTACTACAAATATCACATAAACTTAACATGATCCCAAGAAAATGAGGCCAAGGTCAGATAAACCAAACAGGAAATACATGTACACCTTACAATCATTCTTTGCACAAAATATAGTTGACCTATTGCTTATAGTTTCTAAGAAACAAACTTAACCAAGAAAATTTAACATTGAACCATGCCAGACAGACATGGACACCTTACAATCAATCTATGCATTACATATAGTTGACATATTGCTTATAGTATCTAAGAAACAAACCTCACCATGAAATTTAACATTAACCAATGAACCATGCATGAAAATGAGGTCAAGGTCAGATGATACCTGTCAGACAGACATATACACCTTACAATCATTCCATGCACCAATTGTTATTAGTTGACCTATTGCTTATAGTTTAAGAAAAACAGACCACAAAAACTTAACACTGAGCACTGAACTGTGAAAATGGGGTCAAGGTAAAAAAAACCTACCAGACTGACATGTACATCGTAAAATATTTCCATACACCAAATATAGTTGACCTTTTGCATATAGTATTGGGAAAAAAAAGACCAAAACACAAAAACTTAACTTTAACCACTGAACCATGAAAATTAGGTCAAGATCAGATGACACCTGCCAGTTGGACATGTACACCTTACAACCATTCCATACACCAACTATAGTTGACCTATAGCTTATAGTTTAAGAAAAACAGACCAAAACACAAAAACTTAACACTGAGCAATGAACTGTGAAAATGAGGTAAAGGTCAAATAGAACCTGCCAGACTGACATGTACATCGTAAAATATTTCCATACATCAAATATAGTTGACCTATTGCATATAGTATTAGAAAAAAAGACCCAAAACACAAAAACTTAAATCCACTTAACCATAAAAATGAGGCTAGTTGGACATGTACACCTCACAATCATTCCATATACCAAATATAGTAGACCTATTGCTTATAGTATCTGATGTATGGACTTGACCACGAAAACTTAACCTTCTTCACTGATCCATGAAATGAGGTCGAGGTCAGATGAAAACTGTCTGTCAGGCATGAGGACCTTGCAAGGTACGCACATTCTAAATATAGTTATCCTTTTACTGATAATAAGAGAGAAATTATCTTAACTTTTTTCTTCAAGTAGTCACTAAACCATGAAAATGAGGTCAAGGTAATGTACATATGACAGACGGAAACTTCATAACATAAGGCATGTATATACAAAGTATGAAGCATCCAGGTCTTCCACCATCTAAGATAGAAAGCTTTTAAGTAGTTAGTTAACGCCGCCTCCGCCAGATCACTATCCCAATGTCGAGCTTCCTGCGACAGAAAAAATGGAAAAGATACCCAGGAGCACTCAAGAATCATTAATCGGAGCACAGTTCAACAATACAACAACAAAATGAAAACTAAAGTAAACTTAAGGTAGAGCTATTATAATAACAGTATCAGCAAGGAATGTTATAGTATAGAACTAATATTACTATACAAATCTTTGTATAAGAGATTTTATAATAGCGCTAGAATGAACAAAGAAAGACGAACAACCAATGTCCTTAAAACAAAATACGTGGTGATCGTTGATGCTAATTTCTGCGTAGATCAGCATTTCATTGAAAGTTACCAAGAAACTTTATACTTATATAACAAAAACCTTTTTACCAGAATTTGTTACATTTGTTTATCACTCACTTACACATTACAATTCAGGACTTCGGTCAACCATGCTCCAAACAAACTGTATGGATCAACACCGGTATACAGTTGGTTGAAGAAACGTGGATGACCTACAAAATCGTATAGAATATAAGTGATTTGAAATGGAAAAAAAGCATATCAGAAATACTGTGCGAAACAACAAAAATACTTAATCGCATATCTGGTTACATTGGATTGAAATAATGTGTTCATAAATTGCTATTTACATATATATAGTAAGACGTACAATAGAAAGTTGATTTTTTACAAATTCTGACTTAGTATAATTATCTTAATGAACAACGAAAGTATATATAGATATAAGAAGTTGTGGTATGAGTGCCAATGAGACAACTCTCCATCCAAGTCACAATTTGTAAAAGTAAACCATAATAGGTCAAAGTACGGCCTTCAACACGGAGCCTTGGCTCACACCGAACAGCAAGCTATAAAAGGCCCCAAAAATGACTAGACTAAGTGTAAAACCATTCAAACAGGAACACAACGGTCTAATCTATATAAAAAACGAGAAACACTTATGAACCACATCAACAAACGACAACCACTGAACAACAGGTTCCTGACCTGTTCACATATTAAGTACATTTCTGCTATATTAATTTAATACTTCACAATTAATCATTTCATCTAGCCGTATCACCAGTCCGTATGTTCGAGCGGGGTGTATAAATACGCTGACACGTCCGGTCTGAACTGGGACGTTTAATCAGATGTCTTGTATATGTACAGTGCCTATTCCGGTCGATCCATGCACTATGCAAATATATCATTTATATGTGCTCGTCTTGAATATCGATAGAATATTTGACACTGAACGTAAAGATACGAACCAACAATCTATGTAAAAAAGAACGTGTACCCAGAACCCCTGTTCATTTTTCAACATACCATTTTGTGTAAAGTAACTTATCGTTTCTATATACGGTGATCATACCTGGTACAATGCTGCCATCTATTACTTTCCTTCCTAATTCTAACAATTTCTCACGTGGCACGGGTTCTTCGTATATTTCAAGATCTAAAAATTTCTGTTAAAAGAATTGATTATTAGATGCGTATACCAAAGCATGGACAGAGTATCGCGCTTTCCTCAATTATGTGCCAGACATAGTAGTATATTAGCACATCATAGAAACCAGATTTATACGTGATATAACCAATTCAATCTTGAAATCTTTAAAGGCAAAATTAGAAAATATTAAGCAATTTCCGTCACTGATGATGGGAATAAGCGGAACTAGACGTGACAACTTTTTTCGAATCGATTTAATCTGCGCGTTTTTGGGGGTCTGAATGAGAGGAATTTGGGGGATGGGGGATTCCTTTATTTCTGTTATTTTTCACTATAATCTTTATAATTGTTTGCCAATTATCCTCTATTTTTTATATTTGAGCGTCCAAATATTCTGGTTTTTTTTTTGGCCCTTTTTTGTAGTATTGGCCCATTGTTCTCTTTTTTGTAACCCTCATCCAGACCCTCGCTCATTGTAACATATGAACATTTTAAAACGGGCCTATAAACAATATGAAAAATTGATCTCGAAGGACCCAAATGTTACTAGACACCTTTCCTAACATCATACGAAATGCTGTTGTCTTCCGTAAAAAAAGCCCGAAACATTATCATAATTATGAAATTATTTTTAAAACCAAGCGATACACCACAACCATATCAATTATTATTTACTTACTTGCAAGTCTAACGGTTGCCTAAAATTGAGAACTTTAGTATTTGGATCTGTTTGTGGTATGAGAGCTTCATCTAGTATAAGTTTACTAAAGTCTTTAACAAATTGTTGGATTTCTGGTTCTGCATAGGAATAACCTGAAGATTAACATACAAATCAATGAATAAGACTAGAATACTTCATATACGGTTTACAGTCTTTCTATAGTTAGTGTGACAAGTCTTGCTAGTAGTCGTATAGAAAGACTACAAACATAACCACTGGACTGATAATTGACTATAATTTACTTTTCTTAGTTAATCTATTCTTTACAAGTTCGTTTAGTCAGGTAAAAGAAGTTAAAATGACAGACAAGGAAAATAAGTATGGAAGAAAAATTAATACAAACCAGGAATTCTCACTAATATTGAGTTAAAGGAAAAAGTGACAAAACCTTTACAAAATAGGGAGGTTCTCTTATTCACAAATAGGACGACATTGTGAAATTTCGCACAATACTGTAGTTAAAATTGTTCAGAAATTCCGAATTGATGGGACGTTGTCGCCTGTGAAAACCCGTTCTGGACCCGAGAGAATAAAGAGTTCAAACGAGATTGTACAAGCGGTACAATATTATAAATCAAGGAAGCCGTCTATTTTTTCTCTCCGAAATACATAAGCGATTGTTAGTTGAAGGTATAACAACACGAGAAAACGTACCAAGTGTATCAACAATATCAAAAATTTTAAATAACGACTTAAAGATGTCATTTAAGAAGCTGAAAACATGTGCAAGAGAGTCCCCAGATGCAGGTGTTCAAGTTAAGTTTTATGAATACATTGAAAATATAAGTACAAAAAAATCAATATACACTTCATTTTTTTATGAATCATCTGTGGTCAAAACTACTGGAAATAGACTATATGGACATTCACTTATTGGTGAAAAGGCTATTGAAGTCCAGAGGTATTTTTTGGGACCTTTTGGAATTGAACATTTTGATATAATTGATAGACCATCAAACGGACTTGTTATACTAGACTTTTTTTATAATGCATTCCAAGCAGTAGATATAAATGGAAATGCATTTCTACATGCCGGGGACACCGTTATCATGGACAATTGCGGTTTTCACCATGGCCGGTTTATTGAGGGTCATATGAGGACTTTGTGTAACCAACATAATGTCGAACTTTTGTTCCAACCACCATACCATCCAGACCCGAACCCGTGCGAAAACTGTTTTAAAGTTATGAAGGATTTTTTTACGTCGCCACACCAGGTTTGCTTCGGATTTCACAGAAATAGCTATATGCGATGGTCTAAATAGTATAACCCTTCAAAAACACTGTCAATGTTTCGTGGATGTCGCTATTTGTAAATTAAAAATATTAGAAAAATAAGAAAGCTTTTATTATTATTTTTTTCGATGCTTTGAATTTTCCTGTGTGTGTGGCTGAATGCGAGACATATGCATTATTTTCTTCCAGGTTTATTGTTTGTTATTTTACTATACGGTTATCAGATGCATTGTTTGTCATTTTTCTATACTGCAATCAGGTGTATTGTTTGTCATTTTTACATAGAATGTGACCTTGAGAGGTCATACCGGTATTATGTTGCGGCAGAAATTTCTTGCGTTTTTGACTGATAACCGAACGTATTTCGTCTAAATACGCGGATATTATCGAGTGCAAAATAACATTCCTTATCGCTTGTTATAAATTTATTTCTTCAATGAATACTCATGAAAATATTTTAAATGATGTGAAAATGTTTTGTCGTGAAAAGTATATATATCAATATCAAACTATGAATACCGAAAATGTGTGTAAACGCATGCGGAAGAATATCTCGAGGACGTTTTGCACTGACAAGGATGCCATTAGAGCTATTAAGATGATCTGCTATATATATATAGCTGGTATACAAATATTAATATAATGTATAACAACAAACCAGCTTTATTATTTTGATAACAAATGATTATATCACTACAATATAATAATTATTACGGTGAGGTTGAATTCCCTATCATTTATTCACCATTCACACAGGAACTTGTCTTAGAAAAAAAATATATATCTATGTACCTTAACCTAACTTTCTGGTATAGAGACACGATTTTTTTTTCTGAAACAAGTGCCTGTGACCATCCACCAGAACTTACGGTCATCCGATGTTCAGTACTTTGATTCTATACTGTAATCAGGTGTTGATTGAACAATTAAACCAAACAAGGTAAAATAAATCTTGTGGTACATGATGCGTTACTAAAAGAACTTGTAAAGAATAGATTAACTAACAAAAGTAAATTATAGTTAATTATCAGTCCAGTGGTTATGTTTGTAATCTTTCTATACGACTACTAGCAAGACTTGTCACACTAACTATAGAACGACTGTAAATGCATGGTTTTGATTTTGGTATTTTTATGCCCTCCCGAAACAAAATTCGAAAGCATACGATCAAATCTTTGTACGTCCGTCCGTCCATCCGAAACAAATGCTTTACGAATAGTAGTTAGAACTTGATCGTTCCCTCAATAATTCACACAAAACCTAAATATAACTGGATGATATAGGGAAGTGGAAAACGCCTTTGATTTTAGGATCAGTAAGTAAAGGTTAAAGGTCACTTTTTCTGAAAACGTCCACGGTGATTTTCCGGTGATAATATGAATATTCCATGCTTAGTTGGAACGAAATTTGTATAGATGGAAGAGGGAAATTGGTACAGTGTAATTGGATCAATAATTCAAAGGTCATAGTCACTTTTACTAATACTTATATTTTAGTGTGAAAATTTGTTTCCGGATTATTTTAATTTCCTTTCTGGAAGTTCGTTTAAAATGAAACGTACGTAGATTGGATTTATATATAGAGAGAAGGAAACATTCAAATCGATTTCCAGGCCAATAGGTCCAGGTTATAGTTCTAAAGACATTATTATTAGCTTATAAGTTGGTAGACTAGACGCGCGTTGCGTCTACATAAGCCACATCAAAAGCGCTCGTATCAAAACAGTTGGAAAGCCAAATCGAATACGCAGTTGAAAAGCATTAAAAACAAAAAAAATAAAACAAGAAGAAATATAGACTAGATTGATATTTTTGTCTTCGATGCATGACTTTTTTTATTAGTTGTTATTGGTTTTGAATTAGCTGTCAGTAACTGCGAGTACTCTCAGATCTTTGCTTAGTGTCTTTTTGTTGTTAGGATGTATAAGTACCCATCCACGTCCACGCTGTGTTTTTGTTAGATGTATTTCTATTTGTAACCAACTGATGAGTTAAGCCTTTTTCAACTGATTTTTATAGTTTGTTCTTATGTTGTACTGTTACACCACTGTCCCAGGTTAAGGGAGGGTTGGTGCCTTCAAACTAGTGTAACCCCGCCACATTCTGTATGTGCCTGTCCAAAGTCATGAGCCTGTAATTTAGTGGTTGTCGTTTGTTGCTGTGTAACATATTTGTTTTTCGTTCATTATTTTGTACATAAATTAGTTTTCTCGTTTGAATTATTTTACATTTGTCATTTCGGGGCCTTTTATAGCTGACTATACGGTATGGGCTTTGCTCATTATTGAAAGCCTTACGGTGACCTATAGTTGTTAATTTCTGTGTCATTTGGTCTCTTGTGGAGAGTTGTCTCATTGGCAATCATACCACATCTACTTTTTATATAGAATATAGAAGATACAATTTGATGATACAGGGCTATTTCTGGAGGAATAGAGGAACACTTCCTAAATTTTAATAAAACTTATACCAGCGCTTGAAGTCAGTAGGTTAGATGTTACAATTGCTAAACATAGCTGTACATGTACATTGTATGAAATAATTCAATATGAATGTTTCTATGAAATGTCTGAAATTTTGTATATAATTTTTCAAGAAGTTTTTCATAGGCATGTGCTTCAGGAACAAACAGTTAAGCAAGTCACGACATCCCCTAGCTCAAACACCGAGGGTCCAGAAAAAGAGGTTTCTTTGTTTTAAGTTTCTGAGGGAAGCCTTTATAACACATGACAGCTGTATACCGAATGAGTGTTCATCAGAATCCATCCTGAATTCAAATTTATGATAGACAAAATTTCTTGAAATAAAACATTTTTAGTTAATTTATGTGGCATGTGATTCCTCAAACCCTGTCAGACTGACCAGAGTCCTGAGAAGATGGTCCAATACTTTGATTGATCACTTGAAAAATGAGATGTTTCATATTTTATATTTTTTATTTACTATTTTGCACCAAGAAATGCCGGGAGATAAAGCAGACTCTCTTAATAAATTTTGGGTTATTTTATTCGTGTAAAGTTTTGTATTACACACATTTTGTTTTATATGAAAGTCTTGTATAAAGTTAAGCTTATATAGACTCGACATGGTATTAGTAACATGACTAGATACATGTGACAAACACAAAACAAATAGATTCCTAATATTTTGACAACAACTCAAATGTTATTTACAAAAAAATTGTATCACAGTATACATGTAGCCCTTGTACAACATGAAGCTTTACAACATACCGGCTTTTGAAGAGTCCGTCATTTCTACATGCAACGTATACAAATAACAAAGTAGTAACGCACCCAGAAGATTATGCAAAGGAATACAAAACAGCTAATACACCTATAGGAATTGAAACTTTCACCTAAAATTTACACCTGTTAAATTGTCAGCTGATAAAAAAAGGTAAAAGTAATTGTATGACAGTACAATGACACTTACTTAAGGTTTGTGATTAATTTAGGGACTTGAATGGAACCAGTCGTATGGCATCGAGGGGCAGAATCAATTTGCGCCAATTGCAGTTTTGAAAAGGTATCAATTGCGCCACTCTGTTTTTCTTATGGTGTTAATTGCTCCAATAAATGGAATCAAATTGCGCCACATTTACCTGTACATTTTCTTACCTATATCATGTAACATGTACTATAATTAACCTATCCACTTTAGATTAAACTAAACACTCATCAAAATTAAGAAAACTCCCCAAAAATAAATTGTTTAGTAAAAGAATAGTTTTTCACGTGTAAAGATGTCTGATATATGATCGTTCAAGAAAATGAAGTCTGATAGAGGAAAACCTGTCATCATTGTCGAAGAACACAAATTTCGTCAGGCATTTGTAAAGAAAAATGAAGCTGCAAGAAGTCGACACGACTCGGAAAAAGAAAACTTTGCTCAAGAAATTAGTATCAAAAACTAATTGGAGGAGAAGTGAGCAGAAAGGAATATGTGTCTATTCTCAGTTACAAATACCAGCCTTTAGTTTAATGTTGAACAGAGACATATTATGGTTTTAACTATATATATGAGTGAACGTTTTAACTCAGCATATTTTTTTTATTAAAATGACTTTAACTCTGCCAGTCGGTAAACTGCCGGTCCCAAGCCACGATAAAGGAGGAGGGAAGTCAATCATTTAGTTGTTATATATAAATAAAAATAAATAAAATTGGCGCAATTAGATGATTTCTTTATTGGCGCAAATGATACCTATAGTTTTGAAAATGAAGTGGCGCAGAAGTAGCATTGGCGCAAATAAGTTGTGGCGCAAATGAGTTCATTTTTGGCGCAAAATAGATATCGCCTGCATCGAGCAACTGCTAAATGTAGTACATGTCAAGTAAATTAAAAAGTGCCGAAACTAATGGCACGAGTTCCATCTGACACCCCACCATACTAAATGAACAAAATAAACGTATAAGTTTATTCCGTGGGATGCCGTACGGAATTATGGACTGTATTAAAATTGATATTGTAAACTGATATTATTAACGTTATTCTCGGAATTATAATAACATTTTTCTCGGAACTACTGACATTTGCCTTGGAAATTCCAACTAAAATCTTGATATTATCACCTTTATTATCAGAATTATCGATTTTAATCTTGGAACTATCGGTTTTAATCTTCAAATTATCGACTTTCTTCTTGAAAGTTTCCTTTCATTTTATATAAAAACACTTTTTGGATTCTAACATATACAACTATCATCTCCTCCCCCCAGGATAAAACTAGGGAAAATAATCAGATCTTATCATATCAAACAAGAATTATATATATATATATATGTATGGTGTTTTGATGATATGGCAATACTTTGATCCACACTAGTTTCAAACCAAAGTTTGATCGACCAAATGTCCGTGGCTAATTAAACTCACGAAAAGGCTACACCACACGTCCATTATTAGTCTTGTAAAACGACCCCTCCTCACGTTTATTCCTAAAATATTCCTACATGTATTGGACACACTTTTGTCCACACCAAGTGCAAATGAAAGATATAGGTATAAAGTTCCCAGATGCATGGTAAAGTCATTGAATGCCTAAACTACAGGTCAAAAGTCTGACAACAAATTTGGATGAGTCATAAATTGTGAAATATTTTAAAAGACCTTTCAGTATACATTTTAGAGAAAAAAATCTGTATTTACCATAATTCGGAATTTACAAGAAAAAAGTCGATAATTTCTAGATTAAAGTTGGAAATTCCATGATATTAAAAAGTAGACATTTTAATAAAATAAAAAAAAACAAAACAATAATATGTCACTAATATGTTTCCGTAGTGATTGCATTTTTATGCAAGATCATCACAACAGGTATAATCACTATTCGAATGTTCAACAGTTTGATATAATCTTGCTTTTCAGAGATATTTAATTGTAGTTAACTTTAGTTGACTTCTCATTTTATTTAAGAAAACAAGGTTAAAGTTCATTGCAATTTAAAGGTTATACAACGTTGGCTATTTGTTCCAGAATTATTCCTTTCTACATTTGATGCCAAAATCACATTGTTTTTCAATATATTTTAAGAAATGCAAGTTTAACGCAGATTTGGAAACTGTTAGCGATTATGTATGAACTATGCCTACCTTTCAGACGGTTGCTGTTGTCGTATTCAGCCATTACACATTTGTCGACTGATTCTATTTATAACTTTAATATATTTATATGATGTTTTAAAAATATGCACGAGTTTCAAACATGGCAAAATTATTTATTTTCACAGATAAATTCATTATGTTATATATATGTCACAAAACGTAGCAAGTTTATGTTAGAAAATTGACACTGTTGACTGATTTTCGATTTTTAAGTATTAAAAACTTTATAGACAAAATATTTATACCTATTGAAATTTTGCTGAATTTTAATGTATGCATGTTAAAAGGCCGTAAAGCTTCGGAACGATAGGTTGATAAAGCTGGCGACATTCTTTTACTATTATTTATAGAAACTATTTATATAATACGATAGATAAAAGTACATATAAGGTGACTTTTGATACGAATGCATTTTTTACTATTATTTATACATCATGTACATGTTATAGAAACTAGTTCTATATATGTTACAGTGTAATTTCACCCCCTACTTGCTATTTGAGGCCTAAAACATAAAGAAATAAATTTGGAAGGGGTATGAAAAAAATTTGCAAGTAATATCCACAGTAGGGATTACATTATTTTGTAGACAAAGAAAATCAAATGACGATAACTGTGTTCCCGATTCTAATAGAATAGAAATTAACCAATCTTAATAAAACTTAGCATGACAAAAGCTTAATGAATTACAATGCTGTTGACCAAGTTTCATGGCAATAGGATATATATTATAGACAATATGGTCATTTTTTATTCCACTTTGGGTGTTCAATTTTTACGTTAAAATTGAAAAGATTCAACAATTAACATTAGGGCTTTAAAAATTTAAATATTGCAAAAAGTTGTTTTTTGAATGACCTCATATTCAATGTATCACGTATTTAAAGCAACATAATTCTCATTGGATGTAGCAGATTTATAACAATTATTCAAAATTCAAATTGATGTTGTTTTAGTGAAAAAACTTTGTATCAGTCCATACTTTTTGCAAAAAAAGTTGTATGCAAGAGCCCTTTTTTACTCAGACTTCTTGTATCATGTCACCTGAGCAACCTAGAAACACAAACACTTTTTTTGAAAGCTGTTGAAAAAATTGTTATGTGTCCCTCCATATAATAAAGATAAATCAAGAAATCTTCATCACCTAAAAAAACAAACGTATTTCGGATTATATAATAAAATATGGTGTAGCATGTTTTGCATTTATCAATTTTGTTAGTTTTTAAGTTTTTGTGCATATACTGAATTGTAAGTACCTTGCGATGACTGACTGGCCATGTTGCTGTGATTTGAGTTCAGATTCTGTGACTGGCATATACAATTCTTGTTATTTGAAGATTTATAAGCTAAAAAAAAAATACTAATAATTTTTAGACATGCCCACAAACTATTTGTATACGGTAGTAAAGTCTCTGTTTTTTTTAGTCTTAAATAAACGTGTGTATGTACAGTATACTGCAGAAATGTTTCAGAGTTTGCGATTTAATATTATCGGATTGTTCTACATAAAAATGATAAAGGGTTGCAGCTTACAAGGAAGCTATTGAAGCAATGGTTCTGAATGATAAAGCTGAAATGTTTAACGACTTTGATTATAGTTATGCACTGACGGTGTCGCAGATGATTAACAATACTTTCTACTTACCGTGACCACAATGTCATGACTTGTCACTGCTTCCAACTTATCACTGGATTGTCATGCATAGAAGAAATTAACACTAAATATTGAGCAATGCTAACCAAACTTTAAACCAAAGGTGAACAAATGAAGTACTCTGGTAGGATTACCAGTTCCTATCCCCCTTGTTCATCCCGGTCAACTTATTGCAGAGGCTATTTTATTGATTTATTGTTGACAAGTTTTCGTCCTACATATGTATGAAATACTTGTCACAGTACGTTAAATAAACTATAATCATTAATCATCAGGAATTACGACGGATATCAGGTTAGGAGACTAAAAAGCACAATGTTATACCTCCGATTCGCTTATAGTAAGTTCAATCCCAGTAATTGGTTAGATATGCGTTGCGCAATCGTTAATTTGCTAGTATGTAACATCTGTCAATGAGACAGCAACCCAATAAAAACGAAACCCGAAAAATAGTTTTTTTAGCTCGAGTTGAAAAAATGCGTTATTTATTCGAAAATTGAGTAAAAAGTACAAATTTTAAGGTAAAAAGTATCGCGGTATAAAGGTGTCATCGCTAAGTGTATCCTATGTACATAATGGTAATCTAATTGAACTAAAACATAATAGAAAATAGGGCCTTTTGTCTTCTGAAATAAAATCAATACGCAATATGTATCGTAATTATACTTATTACCTGTATTTCATGATTCAATTTTTAGTATCTCTTAATCAAACTGTAGTATATTGAGAATTTTAAACAGTTATGCTATTGCACATTGGTAAAATTATCTGGATATGAGCGATTGTTATTTCATTATTTTTGAGTGATATGCAAATATCAATGCAGGTGCGTGATGCTGCATGCGAGCACGAAACTACTACTTCGCGTCCGTTAGTATGAATAACAATGCTCTATAAATACATAATTAGGTGTATCTTTTCAATGCGTTCCGTATTTCTCAAACTAAATTTTGACCCGTCTTTTGACCGTTTATCCCAATGAAGATTTAAACCAATCCGATATATAATAGATTAATGTGAGTGACATAACAACCTAGCCGATGTGTGGGATATGCAGAAAAACATCTAGAAGTCGCCATGGTTGTTCAATTTATTGATTGATTGTTAGTTGCTTAACGTCCAGTGACAAATATTCCATGCATGTTAAGGACGAGAATAATTTAACTATAAATACAATAGGTAGGTCCTGTAATAGTGGCCGGAAGAAGGTCGGTAAATTTGGACTGCCACTTCAAGTTGAAAATGAGGATATTTTGGATAGGGTTTTTCGAAGATGGAAATCAGCTTTTATCGATATACTTGTAAATCGTCCTGTGCCTAGACAGCAGTTGGTCGGAAACATATTTGTTTTACATTTTGTTTAGATCGCTACGTTAAATGTTAATAGATGTTAAACTATTCAAGTGACACATATCGTACAAAATATCGTTCAAAATATAGTACACTTACCTTAAGATATAATCTTCGCTTAAGTAAAGGACAAATAATTTTATCATCATTTCTGACACACCTTGAGACCTTGAATACATACATGTAATATACATGTAGATATTCATGGGTGGATTCAAATATTTTGTCCCAAATCGAGTTCATTTTTCTCTGTGTATATATTTAAATCAAAATGTAAAAACACACGTGTACAAGTGATTAATAATCAGAAGATACAAGTTTAAAAGAAATAAAAGTCAATATGTAATCGGTCGTGTCTTTTATTTTTCCGTAGAAGTATTTTAAATCCAAAACAAATAGTGTTGTTTAGTCTTGGAACCCCTTAACAATTAAGAGATAATAAATCTGGTTTAATTGGGCGACTTTTAATTTTGTAAGATTGCTTTTATTAATCTTGTGCGAACAACTTTAATTTTTAGTGGGCATTTTAAAACAAATGGGATCTACAGTCGCATTCTTTATTTCCAACTTTCATACCAATGCGTAGACAAACAATTCCTAGAGTAATAGAGTTCTCTTTGACACTTTAGCCATACTAAATTAGCTAAATACAATGAAGAATTGTCACCAGGACTTCCCATCCCGAAGACGTGCGACCGTTTGGTTCTGTGAGATGTATAAATACGCAGCCACGTCCGGTCGAAAAGGAAACGTTACCTTAAATCTATATATTCTACCTCGTGAGGGGAATTGTAACACTCTCTGCACTTCAAATATCTCTTGCACAAAGTCTTTGATGGGTCCTTAATTGGTCTCCCGGTTTACCAACTTTGCCTTTTATATTAATTGAAGAATTTTATACATAGTCCTCGACCTGAATATGCATGGAATATTTGCCACTGGATGGAAAGTAAAACAATCAAGCAATGAATTTATCCATGCTTTCAACATAACATTATTATTGTCCTCTTATCTCCCGAATGAGTAGACGAGGTATGGCCAATTTTCCGTATTTACGTTTCACTCAAAGTTTCAAAAATCTAAAAATCTTGGAGTTGGAATATTAAACATTTAATTATCAATATTTATAGATGATTCCATGAAATAAAAATATTATACAGTGGTAAAAATTTCGGTTGAAGGCTTCATTTTGACAACAAAATTATAATTTAAAATTTACAGGTATTTGATTTTTTTTTCACGCATAGGCGAACAAGTCCTAGAGTAATATATTTCTTTACCGACATTTTAGCGATCCTAAATAAGCTTAATTCAATTCATTCCGTACTCTAAGGGTAGACTTGGGTATATAAATATAGACAACAGGACTTCTCCCATCAGGCAGTAAAACCCATGCTAAAAAGGTGCGACCGTATGCTTGTGTATGATGTATAAATACTCCGCCACGTCCAGTCGGGAAGGGTGTTAAATCTAATACCTCGTGTAGGGAGAGTGCAACACTATCTGCACTGCAAAAACTCTTTGAGGGGTCCGTTATTAGACTTGTTATATACTTTTTTTTACAATTATATTTATTTCCAGACCTTCATCCAGGTTCCCTCACTTTAGCTATATTCTGTAAGTATCAATTGTGAATTAATTGTCCTCGCCCTAAATATGCATGGAATATTTGCCACTGGACGTAAGGTAAAAACAATCAACCAATTACTTTTTCCCTGCTTTCAACATAATACTGTTTTTATCCTTTGATCTAAATAACAAAAAGAGGTAGGGATAATTCCCGTATGTTTATTTCATTCAATGTTCAAAATCAAAAATTTGTCATATCTTATTGGAATTGGAATATTAAAGAGTCTGTTTTAAATACTTAAACATGTTAAAACTCATTTATACACAATGTTAATTATTTTCATGATACAACGCTGAATGTCTCCGTTAAAGGCATTTTTACAACAAAATTCCAAATTTTACAGGTTTCTGAAAAAAATTCTTCAAAAGAGTATCTAACCAAAATGAATTGATTTTTCTCCGTAGGACAATATATAGATTTACAGTATTGATTTCGGATAAGATTATCCTTCTCGTTAATTGTTTTGTAAATATTTAAAATCTGTCAAAATTGCGCTATCGTTTAAAACTTGATCGTCATCTTGTAATAAATAAATAAAGATATTGTTAGAACCTCAAAATGCACACAATGAGCTGGGTACTGTGAATTTAAGTATTGATTGCAAGCTTTACTAAATGAATTATGACCCTGATGTGAAATAAAAACTGATGAAATTGTCCTACAAATGTACGTCTTTAATAAGCTAAACAAAAGAAGCTGAGAAGGAATTAAACAGTACAAGCTTAACGTCATGTACTTTGAACTTTAAAACTATCGTTTCAAGTAAACACACTGTGTGGTAAGCCCATCGAGATGTTATTATGATCCAACATTGTGTTGTCTTAGCTGAACATCATGTTCGTTCAACGTAGCGTGTACACAATAAGCCTATCGCCACAAAACAGTGACTTATCATTATGCTTTCACATCTTAACACTAGCAATGGTAATTGAATATATGTAATAAGTCAGCATAACACAATTCAACTAATTATATAAGCATATTGTAATTTGATTTTAGCATTTTGATGACTCGATTTTTCGTCACGCATTTACAACTTTATCATATTATGTATTTTAAAAGTTCGTTTTGGTACTATCCTCCCTGAAAATTATCTGCATCCGCCCTACTAAAGTAGTAAAACAACTGAGGCTTAAGTTTCCATAATATATTGAAAATAATACACTATTATACCCCAATAAGGTTGATGGTATACATTAAAACAAAATAACACATTACATAATACATCACAAAAATAATTAAAAAGACATGAATTTATATATGTACATATCGTACAGTTATTGGATCCACTCTCCTCAATATATGTGCATGTACGGTACGGTGACCTATAGTTGTTAATTTCTGTGTCATTTGGTCTATTGTGGAGAGTTGTCTCATTGGCAATCATACCACATCTTCTTTTTATATGTAAATGAATTATTGCCGTGGGATTTACATTGAGGTTAACAGACCCGATAGCGATGAATGTGTTAACGAATAATTATTACACCTTTTTACTGGTTATGAGGGTAATAGCAAGTTTGTTGTCCCTGAGATACCATCTATTGCTCGAGGCGAAGCGTCGCCAGGTAAACTAAATTTGCGACAGTAAAACTACCGATGGACGTCCGCAAAGTATGAGTGGCCGTTCATGTCATTTGCGCGATTATATACGCGTATATAATTTTATACGCATATATATACGCGTATATTACCTACATATACGCGTATATTGTTGTTTTAAACGCGTATATTGTCGTTTTATACGCGTTTATTGTTAAAATATACGCGTATATATACATGTTACTGCTGAAAATGATTTTTTTTGTGTAAACGCGTATAATAAATGTAAATTTTTTGTGCTATACGCGTATATAAACGCATTACTTCTGGGAAGATGTCAAATATTTCAAATCCAATCAAACCTGTCCATGTTACTGCGTTTGGTTTCACAAAGGGGACATAACTGGCATATTAAATTATAATCCTGGGGCGTGTTTTTTTGTTCTGCGGTAGTGAACCAGAAGAGGTCCATTTCTGTTTTTTTTTGCATTGGGAAGATCTTCTGGCTCTCTTCTACCTCTTCCTTTTAAATAGGTAGTTTAGACGGCAGAGGCACATAACAAACAAGGCGTCGTTTAGTCTAAATGACATAAATAAATTTATGAATGCAGCTATAATAGAATGTGTGCTGTGTGATAAACGTTTTTATGGCATGGCAGCCTTAGTAGGGATGATAAGTTGGATAAATGTAAGAACTACACGGACAATAACAGTAAGGGGACGACTATTTGGTATTCTGGGGAGGGAAAGGGGCAGGAGGATTTTTTGCAGATTTATTATTCATTTTAATCTATTGCTAATCAGGCCTATTTTTTTTTTAGGTCTTGCTAGGCCACTATATTCATTTTCAAAATCCTCCTGTCTTCCACCCATCGCCCCCAAAAAAAATAAATACTAATTGGTTTTCCCCTTAAATAATCACAAGTTTAAATTGATTGATTGTTGGTTGCTTATTTTTAACGTCCAGTGACAAATACAGGCTCCAGATTTGGGACAAGCACATATCTGTGAGCGCTCAACTCTTCCTTATACTAGGATAGTAGTGTAACAGTACAACATAAGAACAAACTGTAAAAATCCGGCCAGTTGCAGTTAGAATAACTCAAAAGAAACAACTAACATTAAGGCAATAGACACAAAGCACCGAAATAAGAGTATTGGAGTTTAATACTAAAAGTTTGTTCAAAGCCAATTACAACTAACATTGAAATAAATCTTGTTCTCCCAGACTAAAGTATCAGTCAGTACACAACCAAAGAATTTAGTAATAAACAGTATGCAGGGGCGGATTCATAAGGGGCGGGCGTGCGCCCCCTCCCCCACCCCCCAAAAAAAATTTGCAAAGCATGGGTTGTCCTCAGCTTAATAATGAATATTTCGATAATTTTACCTAAAAAAATTCGGAGCTCGGCGAAAATTTAAGTTTGCGCCCCCTCCCTTTAAACCTAAAATCCCGGATCCGCCTCTGGTATAAGAAACGCCATGACCTTGTATGCCTTGTATATGTTACAGGCATTTTCTAAATTTAGGCAATTTGTAAAATGACTGAAATTTTGAAACACAATTCAACAAATTGCCTGTTCAGTTTCGGGCAATTTGTAGGATATCATTGAGATGCATGTGACAATAAGTGGACAAAAACACAACATCTTGCAATGAAAATAACTAATGGTTCGGTAGCCTGAATTGATTTATTCTTCAAAAACCACATGGGAAAGTTTCTATGTCATATGATATGTTCTTTTTAGTGAAACTATGTTAAGTATGAACTCACTCTGTATTTCAGATAGTAAATTTATGATCATGTTGTCAAAATTGCAGAAGGACAAATTGTTCTTTCTTTAGAAGCAAAATTTACAAACGATGTATGTGACTGTCCCAAGTCAGGAGCCTGTAATTCAGTGGTTATCGTTAGTTTATGTGTTACATATTTGTTTCGTTCATTTTTGGTACATAAATTAGGCCGTTAGTTTTCTCGTTTGAATTGTTTTACATTGTCATTT